TATATATATATATCATCTACCATGTTTTAAATGTAATTTTTAGTTTTTATGTCATCACTTTTAATTGTATGAGCATGTTTATCCTATATGGTGTTAACTGAGTAAAAGTAGCACTTTCAGAACGCTCAAATAAAAAAAAACAAATATTCAGTTTCAGCTTATAATCATTGCATACCACATTTGCTAGCACTGTTAATTCTGGTGCAGTAATATTTGCATTGTTTCAAGAAAACTTCCCAAATTGGTAAAATAAATAAACCTAAAATGTACAAAACTCTCTACAGGTTTGCTGGAATTATGGCAGCCAAACCTCAGTAATGAATTCCACAAATGTTGTATATTTTTTTTCAATATAAATGGCTTAATTTACAATGCTCATTTGGCGATATTGTAGAAAAGCAATAAGTGGGATTCTGACACTGAAATTCACATAGTTTGGTTTAATGACTGTAGCTTTAGTGGACTGTTTAATTTAAATATCCCATTTTATTTTTGTGACCAATAGTATAAAAATGAAAAGTGCTCCTATTCATGCAGGTTATGAGCAATGAGGGCTAATTTTAGGGGTTGCTGCTAACTTCCTTCCAATTTGTGCTAAAATGTTTTGGCCAGCATGCGATTGTTCAAGAATTGTATAGTTAGAACAACCGTTTATTTGTCCTCTACCTAGACCACACATACTGTACATTTTAGAAAAGGCCATACATTTTTGAGAGCAGTTGGATGCGTGGGCAGAAATGTATATATTTATTTTTGTTTATAACTAAATGTGGCAAAAACATGCACTCTTGCACTGTTTGAGCTTGTGTGTTTAGGCCAATTGAGGAGGAAGGTGGAATCACTTTCCTTCATGATGGGGTAGTCAGTGTTGTCTGGTACAGTCTAAAGTATTCTTGGATATGAAGATCATTACCAAAATCTGTTGGATTGGAAGGCACGCATATCAGGTCAATAGGTACCTTTACTCTTTCTATTCTACTCTATGTCATAGTGGTAAATGGCAATATGTACATTTACACATCCTGATAAGCAGGCCCCAATATGTGTTAAAAGTCCGGTCCACCAAAAAATATTTAAGATATATATGTTGTTATAAGCTTTGCATGGACTTCTTAGGCTCAGGCTCTTTTTCTACCCTTGCTTGTTTAATAAATCTGGTATCATGTACAAGGAGGGGGATGAGGGAATATTTCAGAATGTAAGTTTCATCTAAAAATGTAGTTGTAGGTAAAGAATATGAACAGAAAAATTGTTGAAACTTCGACTATTAACAAGTATAACGATGGTCACATAATGTTCTGGACAAAAGGACTATCAGAATGCAGGTAGTACCTTCTTAGATGTAGGGAACCAGTGTTAGTTTATATCTGAGTAATTTGTTTTTAAATACACTGCCTCAGCCAAAAAAAGGCATACAGTCTTAATATTTCATTGGACTGCCTTTAGCTTTGATTATGGCACGCATTTGCTGTGGCATCATTTCTACAAGCTCATGCAATGGCACACTTATTTCAGCCTAGAGTTCCATAATTTTTTTTTTACCAAGATCTTATAGCGATGATAGGAGAGTCGGACCACAGCATAAATTATTCTCCAACACATCCTAAAGTTTCTCAGTGGGGTTGATGTCTGGACTCTGTGGTGGCCAGTCCATATGTGAAAATGATGTCTCATGTTTCCTGAACCACTCCTTCACAATTTAATCCCCAATTAATTGTGGCATTGTCATTTTGGAATATGCTTTTGCCATCAGGGAAGAAAAAATCAATTGATGGAAAAACCTGGTCATTCGGTATATTCAGGTAGGCAGCGGACCTCATTTTTTTGGGGGACATAATGTTCCTGAACCTAGGCTAATTATCCATTGGAAAGTACTCACCTATTTCTTTAGCTAAATCCAGGTGGTGACTTTTTTGGCAAGGCAGTGTATTTTATAATGGTAATTACATTGGTAGAAGGAATATTCCATGAGCTCACACTGGTCTTTTATACATAATCCCCTAACCTATAATTCTAAATATTTAGAGACTGCATGCAAAAGCAGGAAATCTACTGGGAATAAACAGATAGCTAGAGAATCTAAAAAATAGTAATAATGATGGAGACAATACCCATGTAAAAAGTTGGATGCACAGTGTGAATGACAGCAGAAGTGGCAAAAACGTGCTCTGCCATTTTCCAAGAGCATGATAGAAAGTGAGAGAAACACAGGGAGAAAAAAAAGATACATTTTTATAACTTGTTATTATTACCTGTTTAAAAAAAATATATGCATGCAATCCTTCAAAATGGCATTTATTAAATTAGCACATTTAGTGTTAGAAAACTGTGATTAGTAATATCACTTTAGCAATTTAAGAATACATGCATCTCAAATAAAATGTTGGTCTATGAGCAGTACGAGCAGGGCAAACGCACAGAACCTGATTCACTAAAGAGAAAAGAACAAGAACTAAGGTATATTGTTATTACCTGGGCATCGTAAATACTGTGAGGATTATGAATTGGCTGTCCACACCCGACCATGTGCAGCCATTCATGCATAAGCTTAGTAAATCAGGCCAGCTATGCAACTGTTTTTTTAATGTAAAGTTACACTTTATTATTTCGAATTATAGGACAACAAAAGTATACTCTACTGTTAATTTCATTGAAGCAGACCATGAATAATGCTATCATAAAATACTATATACCAAACTGTTAATGACAACATAAAAACACTGACTACCAGCATCTTATTATGCTAGAAACATGCCAAAACTCTGGCAAAGCCACTCCAACATGACGTCACACTAGTAGCATGACATCACACATGGAACACTACACTGACTGCACTGCTCTGATAATATGACATAACATAGTCCTGCTCTAGTTCCTGCAATCTGCCACTGCTGTGAACATAATATCATACCACCACATTGTCTTTGGTAATGCCTCACACATTAGGACACGAGTGGATACATTTCCAAAGTCTGCACATGGTATTTACAAGGCCAGTCCTATCTGTGATAATAGAGCCCGCATGTTTAAATGTGGTTTCAATATATTGCATGTTGTTATAAACTCGTCACAATGCTGGGAAATCCAGATTGAGCCTATAATGAAAAATTCATTAGCAACTGTTTGCATACCAAAATGATGAGAGGCTTATATACATAAGCATTAGAAGACAACTGCCTCCGGAAATGTAAGGATGACTCTGCTAAATGTCAAAGGTGATTGCGAGCCTTGTTTGTTGGCCTTGATTTAAGCCTGTTATATCTTATACCTCTGCATTATTACTGAATTCACTACATTTCTATATAGTTTAGCATTATTCCAATGTACTACTGTATCGCATGTCATCTCCAGTTTTATGTCACAGAATTGCAAGTGTACACGGTAGGATGCAGAATGTACTATGATATGTCTTATGTTTTGTATTTTTATGACAAACTTAAAACAAAATTACATGCTTAAAAAAAAAGAAGACAACTGCAAATCCTGACTATTCTTGTAAAAGTTTAGCTTGGGAACCACCCACTTCCCAAGCCTAACAATAGGCCAGTGAAGCCCCTTATCACATGAAATGACCAACCAAGGCTTATGAGGTGGTTAGGCCAAGACTGAACTTTATAGGAAAAGTGGAGGTTTGCTCATAAACGTAGCTGCCTATGCCTCTGGAGCTACTGATTGTGCTGGCATGGACTTCACAGACAGTAACCTCTGTTAACCTCATTCATTTTTTTATCATTCTCTTAGTTTGAACAGCCTAGCTTTGTGACAGGTTTACTTTAAGAGCTCTGTAGCAGAAACAGAATATCAATATGGCACACAACCAGAAATGCTATGACATTCTGATCACTGCTCGCCGTGACATTTTCAGAACGTTCTGTCTTCTACAGGGAAACTCAGCAGATTTATTTTTTTAATAAAAAGAAGAATAACACTAGAGAATATTTGAAGAAACCACTTGACATTTGTTTTTGCTGTGTGTGTGTATACACACACACACCAATCAACAAAAAGCCAAGTCTTGCTGTCCTTACTTTTTGAAGGAACTGAGATTTGTTTTTATTGCAAATAATGCATTATTCTATTTTGATACAAATGAATATCAATTCCTGACGTGCCAATAAAGTTTACTTTGATTTGAATATTAAATTTGGCTCTGTCTATCATGGTCAAGCCCAGTGCTGATCAAAAGGTTGTAACATACTGCAGGAATCTCTATTTTCATAAAATGATATATAATAACTACTACTCTATTATACACCAGGCTGCTGATACCACTAATCTAAGAAAAGCCTGTATAATGAAATGTAAGGTTTTATACATCCTTCACTTTAATGAGCATATTCTCTTACAAAAGCAATGCAAAAAGCATTAACTTTTAAACAGCACCAGTTATTTCCCATGCAGTGCTTCATTGATGCAACCCTCCACATTACACTCTATAGACTATGATTAAACCCTACGTCTAATTAAATACAGATGATTTGGCACCTGTTCTACACAGTACTCTGCATAAAACATATATTTGAGCCTATATATCCTTCATGGTTTTCATCAAAAGAACATACCTCATTTTTAAAGGTTTCTAAAAAGACAGTTTAAATTAGGCAAGGCTTGAGTAGCTGATGCCATCTAGTGGGAGACATTAGACTAGTAGACAAGTGTGCACATTTTAGTCATGTCACAAATTATTCCGATGAAGGCGTCTGCTTTGCAAAAGGGTAATTAACACTGCTAGTGCACATTGCAGTTGACGATGTTTCTGAGTTGGGATGTTACATGAACTGTTGTGCAGTTAAGGGAATAACTCATGGCACTGTCCATGGTTCTTAAATGTCTAACTCCTGCTAAACTGATACAAAACAAACCTATTCCCGTCATTCTCTCCACTGTGTGGGCATTTTAAGGGGGATATCCTTTTAAACAATTAATGCCCAGATTTGATGAGCATCATGTTCTTCCACACCAATGTTGTTGGGGTTATGCACACAATGCTGGCTACCCCATTATATTGGCAAATATTTAATCAAAACACATAGACACACATATACGAGAAACTTTTAATAACAGCCTTTTCACTTGACTGGGATGGCTTCACTGTGGTAAGTCAATTCAGTATATATATTCAGTATATATATATATTATATATATAATGTAACACCATCAGCTCTGGTGTTACAATCTTTAGCTCTGATGAAGGGGGGATCGCCCCCCGAATAGCATCAGCAGCTGTTTATTCTATGATATTCTGTGGTGGTTCACTATCAAGTAAACGATGCTTAGAGCATCCTGTCTGTTCAGTGTTGGACTTATATATGCTTTGATTTCCTATTTCACATGTGAGTAGTTTACTGCTCTTCTTTTATCATTTTGTATTAAACGTTAATATACTTTGAAATGCGATTAAAGATTTTATATACTAAATACATAAACCAACGAAAGGTTGTTCAGTATTTTGCCTTTTACTGCATGACAACTATCTGTACTGTTTTGCAACATAAATAATGCACAAACACCATACATTAAGACTTTGCTGTTCCTATGGAAATGTATTAAGCTTTGTAACACAACCACTTGTGTAATACAGAGCAAAACAAAGTTTGGAATGTGAAAGGGTGAGGATGCCTTGACAGAATATTGCAATCTCTCTATTATTGTGTTTATGCCACACACAAAAAAAAAAAATAGGGTGAAGGGGGACTCAAGTAAAATAAATTATCCCAGAAAGAGTTTAAACTGACAACAAAAAGATGAATACGATATAAAAAAAAACTACATGCTATTCTTTGTTTATATTAAAAAGTATATATACCAATAACCATTATTAGAGACACAAATCTAAATTTACTAAATCTAAAAGAGATCTAATTAGGGTCATAACTTCTATGACCGAACATTTTTCTCAGTCTGCAGAAAATGGTTGCAGCTAACATTGTTGTAAACAAATAGCAAACAAAAATATAAATGGTAACAAACATACAAAAATAGCTTGATAGGTATAACTGAGTCCTTGCAATGCTGGTCCTATTCCTATTCACATCAAGCCTGCAGTCTCTATAAGGCTATGATGTAAATAATTCAATCTTCTTTGAAAAGCACTTCATAGCACTATACAAGTTAGTTAAACATTTATAAATCTGTCTTAACTAAAGTAAAATTGTAGTAGTGGCTAAATACGTACACAAATAACAAAATAGGATAAAGAAATATGGTGTGTAATGAATGCACTGGCAAACCACAGCTAAAAAAATGTATGTAAACATAGTTTTGAAATAGGTGTCATCCTGGATGAGCAGTGATCTTGTATCTTTTAGCAGTTTTGTCAGGGCATAGAGTGTATTCTTTTTTTTTAATACTTTTTTATTAATTTTCAAGAATAAACATTACAAAATACAGAAAATATTTTCTTGATTTCCCTTACACACACACTCTAACAATAGCCTTTCACATTTGCATGTACATTATCTATACATTTCAATCCACGAAACCCCTCCTCTGAAGGGACCTTCTCTCATCTCTCCTTCCAACTAAAATCCCCCCCCCCCC